GCACTGGCGGGGGGGTGGGGGTGGGGGGGAAGTGGGAAAATCCTACAAAAGTGACGGGAATAACTTTTCCTTTCAGGTCAGCTGAAAGCCGAGCTGGGTAAGTACGGAAAACCCCGGGAATGCCCAAATTCCTGGGAAAAACTGGGGAATGCCCATATTCCCATGAACGCCCAAATTCCCTGGAAAACCGAATTCCCAGGAAAACCTCAGGAATACCCAAATTTCTGGGATTTTTGGGGTTGGGGGGGGGGGGGGAATTAAATGGGAATTCGGGGGTGTGGGGGGAATGGAATTCCTCCATAAAAATTAGAATTCCCGGTTTTTTTCTTCTTCTTGCAGATTTCTGGGAAGCGCGGAGCCACGCGGGTGAGTGGAACGAGCTCTGGGATTCCGGGATTGGGAAATTCCAGGATTTGAGGTTTCAGGGATTTGGGGGTTCAGGGATTTGGGAATTCGGGGAATTCGGGGGTTCAGGAATTTGGGGATTTGGATATTTGGTGGCCCCTCGGTTCCTCAGTGGCCACATCCAACATTCCATGGAATGTTTGAATTCCTTGTTGAAACACCCCAGGATCCCTCCCACTCTGGGATTTAGGGATTTGGGGATTTGAGGATTCCAGGATTCGGAGCTTCTGGGATTTGGGGATTTTAGGATCCAGGGATTCTGGGATTTGTGGATTTAGGGATTCCGGGATTTGGGGATTTTGGGATTCGGGGATTATGGCATTTGTGGATTTGGGGATTCTGGGATTACGGGGTTTGGGGATTTAGGCATTTTGGGATTCCAGAATTCGGGGTTTCTGTGATTTGAGGATTCTGGGATTTGTGGATTCTGGGATTCCAGAATTTGGGGATTCTGCGATTCCAGCATTTGGGGATTCTGGGTTTCTGTGATTTTGGGGATTCAGGGTTTCTGGGATCCCGGGATTCAGTGATTTTTGGGGGATTCTGGGTTTCTGGGATCCCAGGACTCGGGGTTTCTGTGATTTTGGGGATTCTGGGTCTCTGGGATCCCGGGATTCAGGGTTTCTGTGATTTTGGGGATTCTGGGTCTCTGGGATCCCGGGATTCAGGGTTTCTGTGATTTTGGGGATTCTGGGTCTCTGGGATCCCGGGATTCAGGGTTTCTGTGATTTTGGGGATTCTGGGTCTCTGGGATCCCGGGATTCAGGGTTTCTGTGATTTTGGGGATTCTGGGTCTCTGGGATCCCGGGATTCAGGGTTTCTGTGATTTTGGGGATTCTGGGTCTCTGGGATCCCAGCATTTGGGGTTTCTGTGATTTCGGGGGTTCTGGTATTCAGGGATCCTGCGAATCCCCTCTCCCGGGAATGCCCCGATCCCTGAGGGGATCCCTCCGCCCCCGCAGCTCCGGTGGCGCTGGATCCAGAGGCGCGGCTCCTGGACCTCGGGGACGCGCGGGATCCGTTCCCGGTGGCGGCGCTGGTGGCGCGGGACGCGCTGGGAGCCGGGAAGGGCTACTGGGAGCTGGAGCTGGGCCAGCAGCGGAGCTGGGCGCTGGGCGTGCTGCGGGATCCCCCCGATCCCCGCGATCCCCGCGATCCCCGCAGTTCCCTGGATCTCCCCGATCCCCGGGATCCCCGCAGTCCCTGGGATCCCCGGGATCCCCACCATTCCCTCGATCCCCGGGATCCCCGGGATCCCCCGAACCCCCACGATCCCCGCAATTCCCTGGATCCCCTCAATCCCCGGGATCCCCCGAACCCCCACGATCCCCGCAATTCCCTGGATCCCCTCAATCCCCGGGATCCCCCGTGGCTCTGGGCTCTCTGCGCATCCCAGGGCCGCCTCTTCTCCGCCAGCCGCGCTCTCGGGAAGCACCGCCGGGATCTCTCGGTGCTCTGGGAACATCCCCGGGATCTCTCGCTGCTCCGGGATCTCTCGGTGCTCCGGGAACATCTCCGGGATCTCTCGGTGCTCTGGGAACATCCCCGGGATCTCTCGGTACTCCGGGATCTCTCCGTGCTCGGGGATCATCCCCGGGATCTCTCCATGCTCCGGGATCATCCCCGGGATCTCTCCATGCTCCGGGATCATCCCCGGGATCTCTCCGTTCTCGGGGATCATCCCCGGGATCTCTCCGTTCTCCGGGATCATCCCCGGGATCTCTCGGCGCTCCGGGATCATCCCCGGGATCTCTCGGCGCTCGGGGATCATCCCCGGGATCTCTCGGTGCTCCGGGATCATCCCCGGGATCTCTCGGCGCTCCGGGATCATCCCCGGGATCTCTCGGTGCTCGGGGATCATCCCCGGGATCTCTCGGTGCTCGGGGTGTTCCTGGACCAGGAGAAGGCGCGGCTGGAATTCTACGACGCGGAACGGGGGAATCTGCTGGCCGGGCTGGCCCTGGGGGATCCCGCGGGGCAGCGGAGGGATCGGCCGGCCGGGATCGGCCCGGGAAGGTTCTTCCCGTTCGTGTCCCCGGGGGAGCCGGGCGCGCTCAGGATCCGCCCGGTGCCGGTGCCGGTGCCGGGGCCGGGGCCGCTCTGAGCCCCCGGGGATCGGGAAAGGCTCCGCGGGAAAGGGAGGGAAAAATGAAATGGGAGCGGAGATGTCGGCGTGGGAGTTAAAAAAATAATAAAATTTTTAAAAAGTGTGAATAAACCAAATAAAAATTTTAAAAAATTAAATTAAATTAAATTAAATTAAATTAAATTAAATTAAATTAAGAAATAAAAGGGAAGGGAAGGGAAGGGAAGGGAAGGGAAGGAAAGGAAAGGAAAGGAAAGGAAAGGAAAGGAAAGGAAAAAGGGATGGAAAAAATAAAATTCAAAATTTAATCAATTTAATTTAGAAAGAAAACAAAATAAAATAATATAAGATAAAAGGGGGAGATGGGAAAATAAAATTAAATAATAAAATAAAATAATAAAAATAAGAAAAATTGAAAAAATAAAATTAAATAAAAGAAAAAGAAAAAGAGAAAAATATGTGGAATTCTCCCACGCGTTTTTTTTGGGTTTTTCTCTTTTTTTTTTATTTTATGAAGAAATGAACCAAATTTACTTTAAACAAAAAAATCAAACTGCAGTTTTGAGAAATTTTTCTTTAAACTTCGGGTCACAGAATTTGTGGCAGGGCAAGGAGTTAAAGAGGGAATTTTATCCAAAATTGGAATTTATTTGGCCTTTTTTTCCTGCTCTGCAGAGGTTTTTTTTTCTCAAATCCATCGGGACTGGATTTTCCTGGATAAAACCCAACTTTTCACCAATTTTCCTGAAAAAAACCTCATTTTTACTGATTTGCCTAAAAAAACCCCAATTTTCACCAAATTTTATGGGATAAAACCCAATTTTCTCCGAATTTCCTGGAAAAAAACCTATTTTTGAGTATCTCACTCAGGCCCCGCCTCCTCATTCTTCTAGCGCTCCCATTGGCTCTCGGTGCTGTCAATCACCGCCAGCCCTTTTAGGCTATGCCCCGGCTCTTTGCCGAATTCCGCTCTCCCATTGGCTGTCCACTCTGTCAATCTGATCCCCAGGTTCCCGCCCACAGCCCGCCGTGTGGGCGTGGCCTCCCCGTAATTGACAGCGCGCTCGCCCAATGAGGGGCGGAGCCTCGCCGCCTCCCCGACGTACGGCGGGGCCGGGGGGGGAGGAATTTGGGGAGGGGGGGAAATTTGGGGGCCTCGGGACCCCCCCGGGACCCCCCGGGAGCTCCCGGGCCCCTCGGGGGCGGGGCCGGGCCCGGCCGCTCCGGCCCTTTGTGTCGGCGAGCGGCGGGCGAGGGGCCGGGCCCGGCTCGGGGGGCCGCGGGGGGGACCCCCAGGTTTGATGGGGGGGCAGGGTCCGGACCCCAATTTCGGGGTGGGGGGGGGGGGGGCATTATAAAGGTCCGGGGGTTTTGGGGGGAAGGGGTTGATTTGGGGTAGGGGTCCTCAGTGCGAGGGTGGGCTGGCACCGGTTTGGGGGGGGGAGTCTTCCCTTCACCAGCCGCCGTCCCCCCTCCTCAGATCCACACCGGCAGCATGGAGCCGCCCCCTCCCCTCCCGCTCTGCCGACCCCCGGAGCCCACCGCGGAGCCTCGCCTGCTGCCGGCCGCGCCCGGCGCTACCGGCGGCTCGGGCGGCGCCGGTACCGAGCAGCGGCGGCTGCGGTTCCGGCAGTTCCGCTACCAGGAGGCGGCGGGGCCGCGGGACGTGTGGCGGAGGCTGCGGGAGCTGTCGCGGCGCTGGCTGCGGCCCGAGGAGCGCAGCAAGGAGCAGATAATGGAGCTGCTGGTGCTCGAGCAGTTCCTCAGCATCCTGCCCGAGGACATCCAGAGCTGGGTGTGGGTGCGGCACCCCGAGTCCTGCGCGCAGGCCGTGGCCCTGGCCGAGAGCTTCCAGCTGGCCCGAGCGGAGCCCGAGGGGATTTGGGAGCAGCAGGTGCGAGGGGGGACGGATTTTGGGGTGCTGGCCCCGGACTGGGAATAATTGGTCACCTCCCACTCCACCCATCACTGCTCATTCCCAAGAAAGAAACAAAAATTGAGCCTGGAAAGGGAGTGCCTAAATCCCCTTGGGAGCTCTTTGCGGTCCAGGGCCGCAGGTGGGAGCAGGGCTGGATTTTGGGGTGCTGGCCCCCGGATTGGGAATAATTGGTCACCTCCCACTTCACCCATCCCTGCTCATTCCCAACGAAAAAAAAACCCAAAATTGAGGCTGGAAAGGGGGTGCCTAAATCCCCTTGGCAGCTCTTTGGGGTCCAGGGCACCAGGACAGCTGGTGGGAGCAGGTCTGGATATGGGGTTCCTAGGGGGAATTTGGGGGAATTTCCCCAAATTGGGAATAATTTGTCCACCCCTTACATTCCTCCCACTCCAACCCTTCCCTGTTCATTCCCAAGGAAAAAAAACGAAATTGAGACTGGAAAGGGGGTCATGGGTGCCTAAATCCCCGTTGCAGCTTTTTGAGGTCCCCAGCACCCAAAACCCTTTTGAGGACTTTGGGGGTCCCCAGCACCCAAAACCCCTCAGCATCTTTTGGGGGTCCCCAGCACCCAAAACCCCTCAGCATCTTTTGGGGGTCCTGGAACCCAAAACCCCTCAGCATCTTTTGAGGGTCCTGGGAACCCCAAACCCCTCAGCATCTTTTGGGGATCCCCAGCACCCAAAATTTTGAGAGCCTCTGGGGAGTCCCAGGCACCGAAATCCCCACCACACCTCCAGGCCATCCCTTGCACCCAAATCCCCTCTGCAGCTTTTTAGGATTCCCAGGCTCCAAAATCTCCTTTTGGGGGTCCTGAGCACCCAAATCCCCTCTGGGGATCCCCAGCACCCAAAACCCTCTTGGAGCTTTTGGGGGTGCCCAAATCCCCCGGGCAGCTCCGTGTCCCCGTGTCCCCCAGGTGACCGTGCGGGTGAAGGTGGAGGACGTGGCCCCCGGGGACGTGGAGGACCCCGGAGCTTTGGGGGTCCCCCCGAGCCCCCCATCGGAGCCCCCCCGGGAGGAGGCGGCCGAGGAGGAGGAGCCACGGGAAGGAGGTACTGGGGTGGGGGCAGGAAAACCTTCGGCCAGCCCAAAAACAGGGTGGGGGTGGTGCTGCTGGAGCTGGGGGAGCTTGGAGGTGGTGGGACCCAGAAATCATCTCGGCGGCCCCAAAAATCATCTCCTGGGGGTCAAAATTATCTCAGTGGACCAAAACCCCAAATCCGGGGTCAAAAAACACCATCAATGGACCAAAACCGAAATCCTGGGGTCAAAAATACCATCAATGGACTAAAAACTCAAATCCTGGGGTCAAAAACAATCTCCATGGGTCAAAAACCCAAATCATGGGGTCAACAACTCAAATCCTCTGTCAAAATCCCAGATCCTGGGGTCAAAAACCATCTCAGTGGACCAAAACCCAAATCCTGGGGTCAAAAACCGAAATCCTGGAGTCAAAAACCATCTCAGTGGACCAAAACCCAAATCCTGGGGTCAAAAACCCAAATCCTGGGGTCAAAAACAACCTCAGTGGACCAAAAAACCGAAATCCTGAGGTCAAAAACCCAAATCCTGGGGTCAAGAATCATCCTTTTGGGCATAAAACAATCTCATTGGGACAAAATTAACTTTTTTGGGTCAAGAACCATTTCCTTCGGTCCAAACCATCTCACTGGGTCCAAAGCCATCTCCTTGGGTGAAAAACCATCTCTTTACGCTCAAAACCCAACTTGTTTGGGCTACAAAACATCTCTTTGCATTCAAACCCAAATCCTTCTTGGGATCAAAAACCATTTTGGGCTCCAAAACCATTTTCTTGGGTCAAAAACCATCTCCTTTGACCAAAATCATCTGCTTGTGGCAAAAACCATCTTGGGCTCCAAACCATCTCATTGGGTCAGAAACCATCTCCTTTGAGTCAGAAGTCATTTTGGGTTCAAAAACATCTCAATGGGCACAAAACCAACTCCTTGGGTCAAAACCATCTCGATGGGCTCTAAACCATCTTGATGGGCTCCAAACCATCTCAATGGGCACAAAACCATCTCCTTGGGTCAAAACCATCTTGGGTCAGAAACCAAGATGGGTGAACTCAAGGGATCAGCTCCAAATGGGTCAATTCAAAGGGTCAACTCCTTTGAGTCAAAAAAACCATTTTGGGTTCAAAACCATCTCAGTGGGCTCCAAAACCATCTCCTTGGGCTCCAAGCCATCTCAATGGCACAAAACCATCTTAGTGGGCTCCAAATCATCTCAATGGGCTCAAAACCATCTGACTGGGTCAAAACCAAGATGGTTTTCTGACTGGTCAGAAACCAAGATGGGTGAACTCAAGGGATCAGCTCCAAATGGGTCAATTCAAAGGGTCAACTCCTTTGAGTCGAAAACCATTTTGGGTTCAAACCATCTCAGTGGGTACAAAACCATCTCAGCAGGCTCCAAACCATCTCCTTGGGCTCCAAGCCATCTCATTGGGCACAAAACCATCTCTTTGGGCTCCAAACCATCTCCTTGGGCTCCAAAACCATCTCAATGGCACAAAACCATCTCATTGGGCTCCAAATCATCTCAATGGCACAAAACCATCTGACTGGGTCAAAACCAAGATGGTTTTCTGACTGGTCAGAAACCAAGATGGGTGAACTCAAGGGATCAGCTCCAAATGGGTCAATTCAAAGGGTCAACTCCTTTGAGTCAAAAACCATTTTGGGTTCAAAACCATCTCAGTGGGCTCCAAAACCATCTCCTTGGGCACAAAACCATCTCCTTGGGCTCCAAACCATCTCAATGGGCACAAAACCATCTCAGTGGGTACAAAACCATCTCAGCGGGCTCCAAACCATCTCCTTGGGCTCCAAACCATCTCAATGGGCACAAAACCATCTTAGTGGGCACAAAACCATCTCAATGGGCTCCAAAACCATCTCCTCGGGTCAAAACCATCTCCTTGGGTCTAACCCCTCCTGATTGGAGGTCCAGCCTCACCCTTCTCCTGATGACCCCCCATGGGTGGATTTGGGGGGTCAGCGGTGGCAGCTGGACCTTCCCCACCCCCACTGGAGCACGGAGGGGCCGGAGCCGGACATTCCCCATCGGGAACCACCCATGGACCTCCTTATCCTCCCACAGATCCCACCACGGCCCCGGAGCCGCCCCTTCCCCAACCCCACCACCCCTCCACCATCCGGCGAGGAACCCCCCGGCGCCAAACCCAGCGGGACCCCCCCAAAGGCGCGCCGGCCGCCGGGAGCGCGGCGCCGGCGGCGCCGGCATCGCATCCGTACCCCTGCGAACTCAAATCCTCTGTCAAAATCCCAGATCCTGGGGTCAAAAACCATCTCAGTGGACCAAAACCCAAATCCTGGGGTCAAAAACAATCTCCATGGGTCAAAAACCCAAATCATGGGGTCAACAACTCAAATCCTCTGTCAAAATCCCAGATCCTGGGGTCAAAAACCATCTCAGTGGACCAAAACCCAAATCCTGGGGTCAAAAACAATCTCCATGGGTCAAAAACCCAAATCATGGGGTCAACAACTCAAATCCTCTGTCAAAATCCCAGATCCTGGGGTCAAAAACCATCTCAGTGGACCAAAACCCAAATCCTGGGGTCAAAAACCGAAATCCTGGAGTCAAAAACCATCTCAGTGGACCAAAACCCAAATCCTGGGGTCAAAAACCCAAATTCTGGGGTCAAAAACCATCTCAGTGGACCAAAACCCCAAATCCTGGGGTCAGAAACCCAAATCCTGGGGTCAAAAACAACCTCAGTGGACCAAAAAACCGAAATCCTGAGGTCAAAAACCCAAATCCTGGGGTCAAGAATCATCCTTTTGGGCATAAAACAATCTCATTGGGACAAAATTAACTTTTTTGGGTCAAGAACCATTTCCTTCGGTCCAAACCATCTCACTGGGTCCAAAGCCATCTCCTTGGGTGAAAAACCATCTCTTTACGCTCAAAACCCAACTTGTTTGGGCTACAAAACATCTCTTTGCATTCAAACCCAAATCCTTCTTGGGATCAAAAACCATTTTGGGCTCCAAAACCATTTTCTTGGGTCAAAAACCATCTCCTTTGACCAAAATCATCTGCTTGTGGCAAAAACCATCTTGGGCTCCAAACCATCTCATTGGGTCAAAACCATCTTGGGTCAGAAACCATCTCCTTTGAGTCAGAAGCCATTTTGGGTTCAAAAACATCTCAATGGGCACAAAACCAACTCCTTGGGTCAAAACCATCTCGATGGGCTCTAAACCATCTTGTTGGGCTCCAAACCATCTCAATGGGCACAAAACCATCTTAGTGGGCACAAAACCATCTCAATGGGCTCCAAAACCATCTCCTCGGGTCAAAACCATCTCCTTGGGTCTAACCCCTCCTGATTGGAGGTCCAGCCTCACCCTTCTCCTGATGACCCCCCATGGGTGGATTTGGGGGGTCAGCGGTGGCAGCTGGACCTTCCCCACCCCCACTGGAGCACGGAGGGGCCGGAGCCGGACATTCCCATGGAATTCTCGGGAACCACCCATGGACCTCCTTATCCTCCCACAGATCCCACCACGGCCCCGGAGCCGCCCCTTCCCCAACCCCACCACCCCTCCACCATCCGGCGAGGAACCCCCCGGCGCCAAACCCAGCGGGACCCCCCCAAAGGCGCGCCGGCCGCCGGGAGCGCGGCGCCGGCGGCGCCGGCATCGCGTCCGTACCCCTGCGCGCAGTGCGGGAAGAGCTTCGGCCGCCTGACCCACCTGAAGACCCACGAGCGGACGCACACAGGGGCGAAGCCGTACGGCTGCGGCGCCTGCGGCAAGCACTTCGGCCACCTGTCCACGCTGACCACGCACCGGCGGCTGCACACCGGCGAGCGGCCCTACGGCTGCGGCGCCTGCGGCAAGAGCTTCACCAACCCCTCGGACCTCAACAAGCACCGGCGCTCGCACACAGGCGAGCGGCCGTACCCGTGCCCGGCCTGCGGCAAGCGCTTCAGCCAGCAGTCCAACCTGACCATGCACCGGCGCAGCCACACCCAGGAGCGGCCGTACCCCTGCCGCGCCTGCGGCAAGAGCTTCAAGTACCTGGCGGACCTGACGGTGCACGAGCGCTCGCACACGGGCGAGCGGCCCTTCCCCTGCGGCCACTGCGGCAAGAGCTTCAGCAACAAGTCCTCGCTGGCCCGGCACGCGCGGATCCACGCCCGAGCGGCTGCCAGGGACAAGTGAGGGAGGGTGGGGGGCGTCGGCGGCCGCACGGTGGAGGTTTGGGGGATGGGGGGCTGTGGCGGAGCCCCGTGAGGGTGGTGGGTGCCGGTGTTGGCTCTCCGTGGTGCTGGAGATGGGAGTGGTGTGGTGGCCCCAGGACTGTCCTGAGGTGGCTCAAACACGGATGAGGACGGACGTTTGGCGTCTCCCATGACTCGGTGGCTCCATGATCCCGTTCCCTGATCCCAGATATCCCGTAGGGTTGGTGGGTGCCGATGTTGGCTCTCCGTGGTGCTGGAGATGGGAGTGGTGTGGTGGCCCCAGGACTGTCCTGAGGTGGCTCAAACACGGATGAGGACGGACGTTTGGCGTCTCCCATGACTCGGTGGCTCCATGATCCCGTTCCCTGATCCCAGATATCCCGTAGGGTTGGTGGGTCCAGATTTTGGCTCTCCGTGGTGCTGGACATGGGAGTGGTGTGGTGGCCCCAGGACTGTCCTGAGGTGGCTCAAACACGGATGAGGACGGACGTTTGGCGTCTCCCATGACTCGGTGGCTCCATGATGCCGTTCCCTGCTCCCCAAAATCCAGCAGGGATGGTGGGACCATGACCATTGGCACCCCAATGACCTGGTGGCTCCATGACCCCATTCCCTGCTCCCCAAAATCCAGCCGGGATGGTGGGACCATGACTGATGGGCCCCATGAGCCTGGTGGCTCCAGATCTTGGGTCCCTCCTCATGGAAATGGGAGCGGCGTGGTGGCCCCAGGACTGTCCTGAGGTGGCTCAGACACGGATGAGGATGGACGTGAGCTGATGTTTGATGTCCCTCATGACCTGGTGGCTCCATGATCCCATTTCCCCAAGAAATCTCCCCGAATCCCTTCTTCTCCCTCCCAGGAAATTCAGGGTATCCCCAAGTTCCTGCTTCTGCCCAATCTGGGGTCTCCCCAAGTCCCTCCCTCCCCCCAGCTCCCTGGACACCCTCAGAATTCCAGGGCCCCCAACGTCTCCCTCCTTTCCAAGCCTGGATTGTCCCAGAGATCCCCCCAATCGCAGACCCCTCAAAATCCTGGACAACCCCCCACCCCCCGGCCTTGGAATTGGGTTTTTCCCTTGAATTTTGGGATTTTTTTTCTCCTCCCGAGTTCCCCAGGGACACCCCACCCCAAGATCCCTTTGCATCTCTTTTTTTTTTGGTCTTTTTTCCTGTTTTTCCTTCACTTCCAAAATCCCTTTTTTGGCAGAAAATGGGAAATTCAGATGGAAAATGCCACATTTTTCTACATTTGGACAGGGATGAAGGTTCTGCCAGGAAAACCAAAAATAACAGGAGAAAAACCAAAAATACAGGGAACAACCAAAAATATGGGAGAAAACCCAAAAATATGGGAGAAAAACCAAAACTATGGAAGAAAAACCAAAAATAAGGGGAAAAGAACCACAAAAAAATATGTGAGAAAAAGCAAAAATATGGGAGGGTAACCAAAGATATGGGAGAAAAACCAAAAATGTGGGAGAAAAACCAAACCCAGCGATTTTCCTGGATTCCACGTCCTTGCTGGAGGTGTTTTTGGGGAGAAAACAGGAAATTTATCTGGGAAAGGCCACTCTTTTTTTTTGAGGTCTTGGACAGGAGGTTCTGCCTTGAAAATGAGAAAAACTGTGAAAAAAATCCCAAAAATTCAGCAATTTTCTTGGATTTTGAGGTGGTGCGTGAGGGGTTTTGGGTAGAAAACTGGAAATTTCACCACATTTCCCAGCTTTGTTCCAGACAGGGATGGAGATTATGGAGAAAAGTGAAAAATAGCGGGAAAAAATTCCCAAATCCCAAGGGTTTCCCTGGGTTCCCTGGTGTTCTTGTTGGATTTTTGAGGAGAAAAGAGGAAACTTCACCAGAAACCCCATTTCCCTGCGTTTTGGGGCGAACTTTATGCCGTAAAACCCGAAACGACCGAAGCCCACGCCGAAGCCGAGCGTTTCCACAGATTTTCGGGGTTTTTTCGGGGGGGAAATCAGAATTCCAGGGATTCACCCCCAGCTGGGGCACGGCGGGAGCTCAGCGAGCTGGCGGCAGCGCTCGAGGCCGGCGCGGATGCCGGTGACGGCGCAGCTCCGCGCCCAGCCGGCGACGGGCACGCGGTGCGGGGGTCCCGAGCGGAACTCCCGCGTCAGCCGGGCCCAGAAGGGGACGCGGATCCGGCGCCGGAGCCCGCGGAGAACCACGGAGCACTCGGAGCGTGCCGGGATCTCCTGTTGGATGCGGTGCACGCGCGACACGAACTCGACGACGCTGGCGCCGCCGACCCACGGCAGGGTGGTGACGTTGCCCAAATCCCAGCCGCCCGGTTCGGTCAGGAGCAGCGGGGCCGCGCGGAGAACGCCGCGGGCGGCCGCCAGCGCCGGCAGCTCGGCGCTCCAGCCGTGCTCCACCTCGGTGGCCTCCTCCAAGGTGACCCACGTGGCGGCCGCCTCGCAGCCGTCGTTCCTGGCCGGCGCCTCGGCCAGCTCCACGTCCTCGGCGCTCTCCTCCACCGCGGTGCCGTTGTAGGTCACCTCGTCGACGGCGACGGCGGCCGGGCCTTGCCGCACCACCAGCACCTCGTACCACTTGTACCAAACCTCCTCACCGTCCACGGCCACGAAGAGCGCCTGCTGCTCCTTGGACGCCTTGCCCAGCCCGTCGGGGCTGCGGCCCACGAAGAGGTCGGTGAGGGGACAGCCCTCAACGGCGCCCGGCGGCGCATCGCCGAAGGACGCGGCCGCCCAGTCGAGCGCCTCGAAGCCGCCGGGGTTGAGCAGGAGCTGGAAGTCGGCGGCGCGGAGCTCGCGCTCGTTCCACGGGAAGGAGCAGAAGGCGCCGCGCGCGGGGTCGAAGGAGCCCAGGTTGCAGCCGCGCTCGCGCGTGGAGCAGACGAACTCGGCGCGGCCGGAGCGGCCGTTGCGGCTGGACACGGCGTCGGGCGGGACGCGGCCGCGGAACGGGACCCAGCGCAGCCAGGAGGAGGCGGCCGTGGAGCGAGGGCGGCGGGGAAGGGGCTGGGGGGGAGCTGGAATGGAGTGGGATGGGATTGGGATGGAAGACTTTTAAAAATAAAAAAAAATAAAATTAAGAATTAAAAATGAAATTTTTAATTTAAGAAAATGAAAACATTAAAAATTGAACCGTTAAAAATTTAAAAACGAAAAATGAACAATTCAAAAATTCATAAAAAATTAGAAAGTTAAAGAATTAAAAATTAAAATTCAAAAAATTAGAAAATAAAAAAAATTAAAGATTAAAAATTTAAAATTAAATTACTTTAAAAATAATAAATTAAAAATCAAGAAATTATCATTTTTAATTCTAAAAATAAAAAATTTAAAGTAGAAAATTAAAAATTAATTATGAAAAAAAATTAAAATTCAAAATTAAAAAATTCAAAATGAAAAAAAAAATTGCAATTTCTGAACACTACAGAAAAAAATTCCCCCTTTTATTTTTTTCCCCCCCCAAACTGATCAAAACCCCCCAAATTTCCCCCAGGGGACCCAGCCCTACCTGCAGCGGCGCCATCGCTCCGGAGGCTGCGGAAAAATCCCGAATTTTCCTCCCAAATCCCATCCCCCGCCCCAGGCCCCGTCCCGGGGCTCCCCAAAACCAAAACCCCAAATTTTGGGGCTCCCCCAATTCCCAGCTCCAATTTCGAGGTTCCCACCCAAAAATCTGAATTTTGGTGCTCTCCTAGATCCCAATTTTGGGCTTTCCCCTCCTCAAATTCACACTTTGGGATTCCCACGCTCCAATTTTGGGGCCCCTTTTCCCAAAATCCACATTTTTGGGTCCCCCCCTTCAAATTTTGGGTTTCCCCTTCCCAAAATCCACATTTTTGGGTCTCTTCTTCCCCAAATCCCCATTTTTGGTTCCTCCCTCCCTTTAAATTTTGGGGTTTTCCCCTCCCCAAATTCACTTTTTTGGGGTTCTCTGCCTCTGAATTTTGGGGTTCCCCAAGCTCAAAACTCCAAATTTTGGGGCTCCCCCAAATCCCAGCTCCAATTTTTGCTTTCCCACCCCCAAAATCTGAATTTTGGACGATCCCAGATCCAAATTTTGGGGCTCCCCCCAATTCCTAGCTCAAATTTTTGGATTCCCACCCCCAAAATCTGAATTTTGGATGCTCCCAGCTCCAAATTTTGGGGTTTTCATTCCCAAAATCCCCATTTTTGGGTCCCTTCTTCCCAAAATCCCCATTTTTTGTTCTTCCCTGGCTCCAAATTTTGGGGTTCCCCAAGCTCAAAACTCCAAATTTTGGGGCTCCCCCCAATTCCCAGCTCCAATTTTGGGGTTCCTATCCCCAAAATCTGAATTTTGGACGCTCCCAGATCCAAATTTTGGGGTTTCCCCTCCCCAGATTCCCACTTTGGTTCTCCCTGGGTCTGAATTTTGGGGTTCCCCACTTCCAAATTTTGGGGCTCCCCCCAATTCCCAGCTCCAATTTTGGGGTTCCTATCCCCAAAATCTGAATTTTGGACGCTCCCAGATCCAAATTTTGGGGTTTCCCCTCCCCAGATTCACACTTTGGTTCTCCCTGGGTCTGAATTTTGGGGTTCCCCACTTCCAAATTTTGGGGCTCCCCCAAATCCCAGCTCCAATTTTCGGATTCCCACCCCCAAAATCTGAATTTTGGGTCTCTCCCGGATCCAAATTTTGGCTTTCCCCTCCCCAAATTCACATTTTGGGGCTCCCTGGATCCAAATGTTGGGGTTCCCCAATCCCAAAACTCCAAATTTTGGGGCTCCCCCCAATTCCTAGCTCAAATTTTTGGATTCCCACCCCCAAAATCTGAATTTTGGATGCTCCCAGCTCCAAATTTTGGGGTTTTCATTCCCAAAATCCCCATTTTTGGGTCCCTTCTTCCCAAAATCCCCATTTTTTGTTCTTCCCTGGCTCCAAATTTTGGGGTTCCCCAAGCTCAAAACTCCAAATTTTGGGGCTCCCCCAACTCCCAGCTCCAATTTTCGGATTCCCACCCAAAATCTGAATTTTGGGGCTCTCCCAGCTCCAAATTTTGGGGTTTTCCCCTCCAAAATTCCCCATTTTTGGGGCTCCCCTTCCCCAAATCCGCAATTGGGGCTCCCCAAACTCGGAATTTTGGGGTCCCCCCTCACCTGCGCTGCCGTTCCCAGGAAATTCTCTTTTTTAAGGGGTTTCTCAGCTGATTTTGGTGCTTTTTGTGCGATTTCAGCCCCAAAAACCTCCCAGGAAAAACGTCAAAAATGCAAAAAAAAAAAGCCCAGAAAACAAAAGAGCCCCAAAAAAAGGGAAGTGGGATTTTTTTTTGGGGGGGGGTTTCCACTTTTTGGGGAATTTTCACTTCTCTTTTCAGAGTGTTTTTTAAAATCCAAGCCTTGAAAAGGTCAAAAAAATGGTGCTAAAAAATCAGCGATTTTTGGGGGGAAATTCAGGAATTTCTGCTTTTCTCAGGGTGAGGGTTTAAAAAAATCTGTTTCTTTTTTTTAAAAAAAAAAATGACCAAAAATGAGCCAAAACACCCCAAAATCACTGAGAGACACTGAAATATCCCCCAAAATTCTTCAAAATGAACCAAAACACCACAAAATGAACCCAAAATCGCCCCAGAGACCCCAAAATTCAGCCCAGGAGATTCGGAAAATCCCAAATTTTGGGGATTTCTCACTCCAAAATTCAAATTTCGGGGTTTCCCCCACAAAAATGAACCCACAAAATGAACCCAAAATCCCCAAAATGAACCCAAAACCCCCCAAAATGAACCCAAAACCCCCAAAATTATCCCAAAATTCTCCAAAATTAACCCAAAACCCCACAAAACAAACCCAAAATCCCCAAAATGAACCCGAAATTCTTCAAAATGACCCCAAACTCCACAAAATGACCCCAAACCCCACAAAATGAACCCAAAATCGCCCCAAAAACCCCAAAATTCAGCCCAGGAGATTCGGAAAATCCCAAATTTTGGGGTTTGTCCCACTCAAAAATTCAAATTTTGGGGTTTCCCCCCCGAAAATGAACCCACAAAATGAACACAAAACCTTCAAAAGTAACCAAAACTCCACAAAACAAACCCAAAATCACCCAAATTATCCCAAAATTCTCCAAAATTAACCCAAAACCCCACAAAACAAACCCAAAATCCCCAAAATGAACCCGAAATTCTTCAAAATGACCCCAAACTCCACAAAATGACCCCAAACCCCACAAAATGAACCCAAAATCGCCCCAAAAACCCCAAAATTCAGCCCAGGAGATTCGGAAAATCCCAAATTTTGGGGTTTGTCCACTCAAAAATTCAAATTTCGGGGTTTCCCCCCCAAAAAATGAACCCACAAAATGAACACAAAACCTTCAAAAGTAACCAAAACTCCACAAAACAAACCCAAAATCACCCAAATTATCCCAAAATTCCCCAAAATGAACCCAAAATCGCCCCTGAGACCCTAAAATTCAGCCCAGGAGATTCGGAAAATCCCAAATTTTGGGGTTTGTCCCACTCAAAAATTCAAATTTTGGGGTTCCCCCCCCCCAAAAAATGAACCCACAAAATGAACAAAAAACCTTCAAAATTAACCAAAACCCTACAAAATTAACCCAAAATCCCCAAAATTATCCCAAAACCCCATAAAATGAACCCAAAACCCCACAAAACAAACCAAAATACCCAAAAATGAACCCAAAATCCTTTAAAATGACCCCAAACTCCACAAAATGAACCAAAAATCGCCCCAGAGACCCCAAAATTCAGCCCAGGAAATTCGGAAAATCCCAAATTTTGGGGTTTGTCCACTCAAAAATTCAAATTTCGGGGTTTCCCCCCCAAAAAATGAACCCACAAAATGAACACAAAACCTTCAAAAGTAACCAAAACTCCACAAAACAAACCCAAAATCACCCAAATTATCCCAAAATTCCCCAAAATGAACCCAAAATCGCCCCTGAGACCCTAAAATTCAGCCCAGGAGATTCGGAAAATCCCAAATTTTGGGGTTTGTCCACTCAAAAATTCAAATTTCGGGGTTTCCCCCCCAAAAAATGAACCCACAAAATGAACACAAAACCTTCAAAAGTAACCAAAACTCCACAAAACAAACCCAAAATCACCCAAATTATCCCAAAATTCCCCAAAATGAACCCAAAATCGCCCCTGAGACCCTAAAATTCAGCCCAGGAGATTCGGAAAATCCCAAATTTTGGGGTTTGTCCCACTCAAAAATTCAAATTTTGGGGTTCCCCCCCCCCAAAAAATGAACCCACAAAATGAACACAAAACCTGCAAAATTAACCAAAACCCCCAAAATTATCCCAAAATTCTCCAAAATGAACCCACAGCCCCACAAAACAAACCCAAAATCCTTTAAAATGATCCCAAAACTCCATAAAATGAAACCAAAACCGCACAAAACAAACCCAAAATCCCCAAAACAAACCCAAAATTCTCCAAAATGACCCCAAACCCCACAAAATGAACCCAAAATCGCCCCAGAGACCCCAAAATTCAGCCCAGGAGATTCGGAAAATCTCAAATTTTGGGGTTCCCCCCACCCAAAGACCCCCAAAGACCCCAAATCCCCCAACCCCCCCCCCCAAACTGGGAAGGAGCCGGAGCCGCCGCAGGTGCCAGGAAACTTTATTGGGGGAGGGGGACCCCAAAAATGGGGAGAGAAACCCCAAAAATGGGAGAAAGACCCGAAAAAGGGGGAGAAGACCCCAAAAAAGGGGAATTCACCCCAAAGTAGTGTCAGCGTGCCAAAAAAAGGGAAAAGACCCCAAAAAGGGGGGGAGACCCCGAGGGGGTCAAAAAGCTCCAAAAAAGGGGGAATCCCCAAAAAGGGGAAATCCCAAAAAGGAGAAATCCCAAAAAAATGGGGAATCCCAAAAAAAGGGAAAATCCTGCCCAGGATGGCCAAAAATCCCCGAAAAAAAAATCTTAAATAAAGAAGGAAAATCCTAAATAAAGAGGGAAAATCCCAAAAAATGGGAAATCCCAAATAAAGGAGGGAAATCCCATTGGGGTGTGGTCAGAATCCCGAAATCAGTCGAAAATCCCCCCAAAAAATTGAAATAAAGGGGCAAAATCCCCGCTCTGGGATGGCCAAAAATCCCAAAAAAAAATCAGGAAAAAATCCGAAAAAATCCCCCAAAAATTCCAAAAAAGTCCCAAAAAGGGGGGAAAACCTTAAATAAAGGGGGTCAGACTTTGGGGGCTCCCAGGAGTGGGGAAGAGATGGAAAATCCCCCCAAAAAATCGGAATAAAGGGGCAAAATCCCCGCTCTGGGATGGCCAAAAATCCGAAAAAAAAATCAAAAAAATCCCAAAAAATTCCCAAAAAATTCCCAAAAATTCTGAAAGTCCCAGAAGTGCCAAGGTCCCGGGAGGCCCCGGGCTCAGTCCCTGCGCAGGTTCTTCAGCCTCTCCTCCAGGTCGGCGTCGGCGTCGGCCAACGCGGCCGCGGCCGCCTCGGCGCCCCCGCGCCCCTCCCCCGCCGAGCGGAGAGCACGGTGCTCCCACCGGAGTCACCCAGATCCCACCCGGAGTCACCAGATCCCACCCGGAGTAACCCAAATCCCGCCCGGAGTCACCCAGATCCCACCTGGAGTCACCCAAATCCCACCCAGAGTAACCCAAATCCCACCCGGAGTAACCCCAAAAATCCCATCCAGAGTAACCCTAATCCCACCCCGAGTAACCCAAATCCCACCCGGAGTAACCCCAAAAATCCCATCCGGAGTAACCCAAATCCCACCCAGATAAATCCTGCCCAGATTAACCCAAAAAAATCCCACAAAGATTATCCCAAATCCCATCCAGATTAACCCCAAAATCCTGCCCAGATTAACCCAAAAAATCCCACAAAGATTATCCCAAATCCCACCCAGATTAACCCAAAAATCCTGCCCAGATTAACCCAAACCCCAAAACAATCCCACCCAGATTAATCAAAAAATCCCAAAGAGTACCCCAAAATCCCACCCAGATTATCCCAAATCCCATTAGCCCCCAAAAATCCCACCCAGATTAACAAAAAATCCCATTATCCCAAAATCCCACCCAGTTTACCCCAAAATCTTCCACAAATCCCCCCCAAATCCTCCCAAATACCCCAATATCCCCCAAAACTGTCCCAAAATCCTCCCAGATCCCCCCAAAATCCTCCCAAAATCCCCCAATATTCCCCCCAAATCCACCCAGACTCCCAAAAATCCCCCCAAAATCCCCCAAAATCCCTCCCAGACTCCCCAAATTCCCCAACCCCCCCCGCCCAATTCCCCCCAGATTCCTCCCAAATCCCCAAAATTCCCCAAATCCCCCAAAATCCCCAAAAATCCCCAAAATCCTCGCTCACTGGCCAGCTCCTCAGTCAGGTTCAGCCCCAGTTCGTCCAGGACCTGGGACACCACAGCGTCACTGGGGAGGACTGGGATGAACTGGGATAGGACACTGGGACACCACAGCGTCACTGCCAGGGAGAGACACAGGGGTGCTGGGGGGAACTGGGACAGACTGGGACAGACTGGGACCCGCTCCATCCCCGTGTCCCCTCCCCTATGCCCCGTGTCCCCAGGTGTCCCTTTGTGTGTCCCCAGGTGTCACCCCCCGTGTCCCCAAGTGTCTCCCCATGTCCCCAGGTGTCCCCAGGTGTCCCCCCGTGTCCCCAGGTGTCCCCAGGTGTCCCCCCGTGTCCCCAGGTGTCCCCAGGTGTCCCCCCGTGTCCCCAGGTGTCCCCAGGTGTCCCCCCGTGTCCCCAGGTGTCCCCAGGTGTGCCCCCGGGTCCCCAGGTGTGCCCCCGTGTCCCCACCTCTCGTCCTCGTCGTCCTCGTCCCCGAGGGCGTCGTCGATGGCGTCGTTCATCAGCTCCTCCTTCATGTCCATCATCTCTGACTGCTTCTGGAACTCCTGCAGGATGCGCTGGATCTGTGGCAGCTTCAGCTGGGGACACAGGGGACATCGGGGACATGGGGGACACAGGGGACAGCAGGGACACACGGGACACAGCCAGCTCCAACTGCTTCTGGAACTCCTGCAGGATGCGCTGGATCTGTGGCAGCTTCAGCTGGGGACACTGGGGACAACGGGGACATTGGGGACACACAGGGCACAGCCAGCTCTCACTGCTTCTGGAATTCCTGCAGGATGCGCTGGATCTGCGGCAGCTTCAGCTGGGGGGACATGAACACTGTGGGGACATTGGGGACAGCAGGGACACTGGGGACAGCGGGGACAATGGGGACACAGGGGACACTGGGGACACACGGGGCACAGCCAGCTCCAGCTGCTTCTGGAACTCCTGCAGGATGCGGCAGCTTCAGCTGGGGACACAGGGGACATTGGGGACAATGGGGACACTGGGGACAGAGGAGACAGCGGGGACACTGGGGACAACGGGGACATTGGGGACACACGGGGCACAGCCAGCTCCCACTGCTTCTGGAACTCCTGCAGGATGTGCTGGATCTGTGGCAGCTTCAGCTGGGGACACAGGGGACATCGGGGACAATGGGGACACAGGGGACACACGGGGCACAGCCAGCTCCAGCTGCTTCTGGAACTCCTGCAGGATGCGGCAGCTTCAGCTGGGGACACAGGGGACATTGGGGACATTGGGGACAGCGGGGACATGAGGGGATATTGGGGACAGCAGGGACATTGAGGACACAGGGGACAGCAGGGACATTGGGGACAGCAGGGACACTGGGGACAGCAGGGGATATTGGGGACAATGGGGACGCTGGGGACAGTGGGGACATTGGGGATCTGTGGGACACAGTGGACAGCAGGGACATTGGGGAGAGCAGGGACATTGGGGACATTTGGGGACATGCCTGGGGATTGGAGGACACTGGGGACAACGACGACAGCAGGGATACTGGGGACAGCAGGGACACTGAGGGCATTGATGACAGCAGGGACAGCAGGGACATTGGGGACACTGGGGACAGCAGGGACAATGAGGGGATGATGGGGACAATGGAGAGACGGAGGGGACACGCAGGGGACAACAGGGTGACCCCAGGGACAGCAGCGTGGCAGTGGGGACAGCCAGGTGACCCCAGCGCCACCATCTGTGCCGGTGGTGTCACCGTGACCCAGGTGACTCCAGGTTACACGGTGACACACAGTGACACAGAGTGACACACAGTGACACACAGTGACACAGTGACACAGTGCCACCCCAGTGACACACAGTGACACACAGTGACACAGTGACACACAGTGACACCCCAGTGACACACAGTGACACACAGTGACACTCACCTGTCGGTTCATGGTGGCCATGGCCCTGGTGACACCCCGCATGGCGCTGGCCATGGCGCTGTGTGACCTCAGGGTCTGCACCCGCAGTGCCACCCCCTGCACGTTGGCTCTCATGGCGATGAACTTGCGCTCGTAGCGCCGCGTGCGCACCAGGTCCTTGGCCAGCGCCCGCACCGCGGCCTGCCGGGGGACAGCAGGGACAGCGTCAGGGACACGGGGACAGGGGACAGCAGGGGACAGCGTCAGCGACACGGGGACAGGGGACAGCATCCTGCCGGGGGACAGCAGGAACAGGGTTAGGGACAGGGACACAGGGGACAGCAAGGACAGGGTTAGGGACATGGGGACAGCGTCCTGGGGACACAGGGGACAGGGACAGGGACACGGGGACAGGGTTAGAGGCACGGTTAGGGACAGGGGACAGCGTCCTGAGGACACAGGGGACAGGGACACGGGGACAGGGACAGAAATGGGGACAGGGGGACAGTGTCAGGGACAGTGGGGACAGGGATGGGGACAGGGACAGGGACAGTGGGGACTGCAGGGAGAGAGTCAGGGACAGAGGGGACAGCATCAGGGGACAGAGAGGGACAGGGGGGACATCGCCAGGGGCAGGCAGGGACAGTGAGGGGACATCACGGGGACAGCGGGGACAAGGAGGGGACACACAAGGGACACCACAGAGACAGCAGCGACAGGCAGGGGACAGGGAGGGGACAGCAGGAAGAGACAGGGGACACGCCATGACCCCCTCAGTGTCCCCTTGTCCCTCCATGTCCCCCACACCCCTCTGTGTCCCTTGTCCCTGATCCCCTCTCCCACCCGCCCACACCTGCCATGTCCCCACTGTCCCCAGTGCCCCCAGTGTCCCCTCAGTGTCCCCATGTCCCCCATTGTCCCCAAGTGTCCCCTCTGACCATCTAGCCCTGCAATGCCCCCAGTGTCCCCATTGTCCCCAGGTGTCCCCTCAGTGTCCCCATGTCCCCCATTGTCCCCAAGTGTCCCCTCTGACCATCTGGCCCTGCCGTGTCCCCACTGTCCCCAATGTCCCCACTGTTCCCAATGTCCCCAATGCCCCCAGTGTCCCCATTGTCCCCAAGTGTCCCCTCTGACCATCTAGCCCTGCAATGCCCCCAGTGTCCCCAGTGTCCCCAGGTGTCCCCTCTGACCATCTGGCCCTGCCGTGTCCCCACTGTCCCCAATGTCCCCACTGTTCCCAATGTCCCCAATGCCCCCAGTGTCCCCAGTGTCCCCAGGTGTCCCCTCAGTGTCCCCATGTCCCCCATTGTCCCCAAGTGTCCCCTCTGACCATCTGGCCCTGCTTCGCCATTTTCTTGATGTCCACGATGATTTTCTTCTCCTGCGCCTCGAGCTTCTGCCGCTCGCGCTCCAGCTCGCGCACGGCGCGGGACAGAGCGCGCTGGTTCTGCCTCAGCAGCTCCTCGGGGGAGCGCCTGCGCCCGAACAGCAGCTCCATGGGACAGGGGACACCTGGGGACATCGGGGACATCGGGGACATCAGTGACAGCAGGGACACACAGGGACACACAGGGACAGAGCGCGCTGGCTCTGCCTCAGCAGCTCCTCGGGGGAGCGGCTGCGCCCGAACAGCAGCTCCCTGGGACAGGGGACACCTTGGGACATCGGGGGCATCAGTGACAGCAGGGACACACAGGGACACACAGGGACAGAGCGCGCTGGCTCTGCCTCAGCAGCTCCTCGGGGGAGCGGCTGCGCCCGAACAGCAGCTCCCTGGGACAGGGGACACCTTGGGACATCGGGGGCATCAGTGACAGCAGGGACACACAGGGACACACAGGGACAGAGCGCGCTGGTTCTGCCTCAGCAGCTCCTCGGGACACTGGGGACACCTGGGGACAAGCTCCATGGGACAGGGGACACCTGGGGACATCGGGGACATCAGTGACAGCAGGGACACACAGGGACACACAGGGACAGCAGGGACAGAGCGCGCTGGTTCTGCCTCAGCAGCTCCTCGGGACACCTGGGGATACCTGGGGACAACAATGGGACACTGGGGACACGGACTTTGGGGAGAGCCGTGGGACATTGGGGACAGCAATGGGACACTGGGGACAGCCATGGGACATTGGGGACACCTGGGGATACCTGGGGACAGCAATGGGACACTGGGGACAGCAATGGGACACTGGGGACACTGATGGGACATTGGGGACAGCAATGGGACATTGGGGACACTGATGGGACACTGGGGACACTGATGGGACATTGGGGACAGCCATGGGACATTGGGGACACTGATGGGACATTGGGGACAGCCGTGGGACATTGGGGACACTGATGGGACATTGGGGACAGCCGTGGGACATTGGGGACAGCCATGGGACACTGGGGACAGCCGTGGGACATGGCCCAGAGTGTGCTGGCTCTGCTGCAGCAGCTCCATGGGACATCAGTGACAGCAGTGGGACACTGGGGACAGTGGGGACATCAGCGGGACACTGCCCAGGGCGCGCTGGCTCTGCCAGAGCAGCTCCAGGGGACAGGGACACCTGGGGACAGCGATGGCACACTGGGGACACTGGGAACGTTGGGGGACACGGCCATGGGGGGACACGGGGTGTGGTGGCACCTGGAGATGGGAGCGGGGGACACCGAGGGGACAAGGGGGTGACACACGGTGACACACGGGGGGACGGGGAAGCGACACAGAGGTGGCACAGGGGGACACGGAGGGGATACATGGGGACCTGAAGGCGACACGGCGGTGGCACAGAGGGACCCGGAGGTGACACGGAGGTGACACACGGTGACACACGGTGGCACACGGTGGCACACGGTGACACGGGGGCACAGGGCGGTGACACACGGTGACACACGGTGACACACGGGGGCACACGGTGGCACACGGGGGCACACGGGGGCACACGGTGACACGGGGGCACAGGGCGGTGACACACGGTGACACACGGTGACACGGTGGCACACGGTGACACGGCGGTGACCGGGCCGGTCCCGCGGCCCCCTCGCCCCTCGGCGCCCCGAACCCGCCCCGGTCCCCTCAGAGCGCCCCCAAGCGGCCCCCGTGCCCCTGCATCCCCCCCGAGCCCCCGAGGTGTCCCCGGGTGTCCCCAAATGTCCCCAAATGTCCCCGAGCGCCCCCGGCCCTCACCCGGCTCCGCACCGGCACTTCCGCAAACAGTGACGTCACCGCGCTTCCGGTCACGCGAAGCCCGGCGGGTTTCGGTCACGTGACTGCGCCTCCTTCAGGGGAGGCGCGAACCATAGAGGAGCGGATTGGGGCGGCCGGAGCGGCCACTTCCGATGGGGGAGCAGCGAGAGGAGCGGCCAGAGCGGCTCCGCCCGGAGGAGCGCCACCTGGTGGCGCGGGGGCGTCGGGAAGAGTGGGGGCGACTGGGAGCGGAAACTGGGAATACTGGGGATACTGGGAGGGGAAACTGGGGATACTGGGGATACTGGGAGGGGAAACTGGGGATACTGGGGATACTGGGAGGGGAAACTGGGGATACTGGGAATGGGACTGGGCCGTACTGGGGATACTGGGAATGGGACTGGGCTGTACTGGGCCATACTGGGAATGGGACTGGGCCGTACTGGGAGCACTGGCAGTGGGACTGGGCCGTACTGGGGATACTGGGAATGGGACTGGGCTGTACTGGGCCATACTGGGAATGGGACTGGGCCGTACTGGGAGCACTGGCAGTGGGACTGGGCCGTACTGGGGATACTGGGAATGGGACTGGGCCGTACTGGGCCATACTGGGAATGGGACTGGGCCGTACTGGGAGCACTGGCAGTGGGACTGGGCCCATCCCAGTTTAACCAGTGACACCCACCCCCTTCCCAGTCCAAACCAGTATAAACCAGTGTAACCAATCCTGCCCCCTCCCAACCCAACCCAACCAGTACAACCAGTGACACCCACTGCATCCCTCCCAGTACAAACCAGTCCACACCAGTCCAGACCGGTCCCTCCCAGTACAAACCAGTACAAACCAGTCCAGCCCACTCCAAACCAGTATAAACCAGTCCAGCCCAGTCTGAACCAGTCCAGACCAGTCCCTCCCAATATAAACCATTCCAAACCAGTCCAAACCAGTATAACCCAGTACAAACCAGTCCCCCCCGCCCCCCCCAGCCCACACCAGTCCAGACCAGTATAAACCAGTAGAGACCAGTCCCTCCCAATCCCTCCCAGTCCAAACCAGTATAAACCAGTCCAAACCAGCCCCCCCGGCCTACACCAGTACAAACCAGTACAAACCAGTATAAACCAGTATAAACCAGTATAAACCAGTCCAAACCAGCCCTCCCGGCCCACAGCAGCCACAGACCAGTATAAACCAGTAGAGACCAGTCCCCCCCGCCCCTCCCAGTACATACGAGTCCAAACCAGTCCACACCAGTATAAACCAGTACAAACCAGTCCAAACCAGTCCCTCCCAGTACAAACCAGTCCAGACCAGTCCAAACCAGTCCCCCCAGTCCCCCCCAGCCCACAGCAGTCCAAACCAGTCCAAACCAGTATAAACCAGTATAAAGCAGCCCCCACCAGCCCAGACCAGCCGGGGGGGATTTTTGGGATTTTTTTTTTATTTTTTGGGGGATTTTGGGGGATTTTCTGGGATTTTTTAACATTTTCGGGGGTTTTTAGGGGGATTTTCTGGGCGTTTTTGGATTTATTTTTAATTTTTGGAGGCTTTTTTGGGATTTTAAAATTTTTTTGGGAGGATTTTCTGGGGTTTTTTTAAATTTTTGGGTCTTTTTGGGGATTTTTTGGATTTTCTAAAATTTTTCTGGGGTTTTTTGGGGGATTTTTAAAAATTTTTTGGGTTTTTTTGGGGGATTAGTTTTTCATTTTTGGGGGTTTTGGGGATTTTTTTGTTAAATTTTGGGTTTCTTCGGGGATTTTCTAGGTCTTTTATTTAATTTTGGGGTTTTTTGGGGATTTTCTGGGGTTTTTTTGCAATTTTTGCGAATTTTTTTGGGTTTTCTGGGGGATTTTCTGGAATTTATTTTGGATTTTGGGGTTTTTTTGGGGGGAATTTTTGGGAGATTTTTTTGTGGATTTTGAGATTTTTTTGGGAAATTTTTGGGGGGAATTTTTTCGGGATTTTGGATTTTTGGGGGGAATTTTTTTTAATTTAGGATTTTTTTTGGGATTTAGGGGTTTTTCGGGGGGATTTTTTCAGGATTTGGGGTTTTTTTGGGGACATTTTTTGGGTTTTTTGGGGGTTCACTCAAGGTCAGAGCCCCCCTCCCCTCAGTCAGCCCAGGGGGTTTTTGGGGGATTTTTTTGTGGTTTTTTGGGGATTTTTGGTGTGGTTTTTTTGGGCTTTTTTGGGGGCTTCTTTTAGGACTTTCTTTTTAGTGTTTTGGGGGTTTTTTCCAGGTTTTTTTGGGTTTTTTGTTTTCAGTTTTTTGGGGTTTTTTTCCATGTTTTATTTGGTTTTTTTCAGGTTTTTGGGGGGTTTTCCAGGATTGTTTTTTTTTTGGGCTTTTTCTGCAGATTTTTTCAGTTTTTCGGGGGTTTTTTGGGCTTTTTCTGCAAGTTTTATTGTGTTTTGTTCAGAGTTTCTTGGGGTTTTTTTTGCAGGCTTTATTGGTTTTTTGGGGCTTTATTTTTTTTTTTTTTGCAGGTTTTATCGGGTTTTTTTGAGTTTTTTCGGAGATTTTTGGGTTTTTTTTTTTGCAGGTATTATCGGGTTTTTTCGGGGCATATTTTGCAGGTTTTATTGGGTTTTTTGGGCTTTTTTTTTTCCGAGTTTTTTGGGGGTTTTCAGCCGACTTTTTGCAGGTTTTTATTGGGATTTTTTCTTTGGGGGGGGGGGTTTAATTGGGGTTTTATCGCAGTTTTTTTGGGGGGGGGTTATTGGGTTTTTTGGGGGGATTTTTATTGGTTTTTTGGGTGTTTTTCATTGTTTTTTTTTTTTCATTATTCCCGAGTTTTTTGGGCGTTTTTGAGCCGATTTTTGCAGGTTTTTATTGGTTTTTTGGGGTTTTTTTATTGGTTTTTTTTTTTTTTTTATTGGGGTTTTTTTTGGTTTTTTTG